AGATCTTAGAACAGCCATGACGTCGAAGTGATACTGCTTAACAGGAAGCCTTTAAAGAAGGAACCAGGCAACTTGCACAAAAATGTATAGCTTATTTCATGCCATTAGAAAGATGGTAAGTGGCAGTGGATTGCAAGAAAACATTTCTTCCAGGTAGTGAGTCCTTGGCTTTTGCGGTCAGTCACCACCTGTCAAATAACTCTAAGTAGTGGTCAAAAATATCATCAAGATATCCTTCCTAGGAATCTATATGTTAATTAAAATCAGTCACTTTAGTCCATCAATAATGTGCAGCGAGAAATTTGGTGGCTTTAATAAATGAGTGAAACATTGTTCACAACACCGGTAGGTATTCATTCGTTGAACAAAAATTCAGTGATTACTAAACACAGTTGTATGTTCACCAAACATTCAGTTGGCTCTATGTCAGTAGAAAAGTTTATACATTTATTCAGTTGTTCTGTGAATTTTTTAGTGGTACTCAGTTGATTACCTACCGAGTTGCTGGAATACTCCACTGATCAAGGCGTTTGCTAGTATCATATCCTACTCCAGACATTGAATTATATCATGGTCTTAGGATTGCTGCGGGGATGCGGAATGACAGCCGATTGAAACTCCATTTCATAGCCTAAACAGATTTTTCTTAAGCAATTTCATCTACATTTAGAAAATGTAATGCATTTCTATTAGATGTTATGATACAGAATTTTCAAGAGATATCCTGGTAAGATGTTTGTTTGAAACCGTCTCCTAGATGAACAATTTATTATTTACTAAGAGTTATCGACAGGGACAACGCAGACCTAAAAAAGAAAGAAGAATTCTACAGAAAACTACAGGCAACAATGGACAATACTCCAGCTGGTGACATCAAAATACTAATGGGAGACATCAATGCCAAACTGGGACCAGACAACACAGGAAGGGAACTCATCATGGGTAGAGAAGCTCTCGGAGAAATGAATGAAAATGGAGAACTCTTCGCCGACTTCTGCGCCTTCAATGAACTAGTGATTGGTGGCAGCGTATACAAACACAAAGATATCCACAAGGCTACATGGGTGTCACCAGATAGGAGAACCAAAAACCAAATTGACTTCATCTCGATCTCAAGGAATTGGAGAGGCAGCTTACTGGACACAAAAGTAAGAAGAGGACCAGACGTTGGCTCAGACCACTATCTCGTACAAGGGACAATCCAAGTCAGATTAAAAGCTTTCAGGGAAACAGGAGCTGCAGATAGACCACAAGCCAAGTTCAGAACTCAAAAACTGAAGGACCAGGCTACAAAGGACATCTTCATTGCAAACATAAGGGAAAAAGCTGAGACACAAATCAGCACTAGCGAAGAGACCAGCGTTGAAAAGCACTGGAGCAACCTGAAAACGGTGTGGAGTCAAATCTGCATGGAAGTTCTGGGCAGAAAGGAGAGACAGGACAAACAGTGGCTCACTACGGACACATGGAGACTAATAGAGGAGAGAAGGACAATGAAACAAAAGATTATCCAGTGCATTGACGAGCAACAAAAACGGGAGTTTAATGCAAATTACAATACTCTAAACAAAAGAGGGAAGAAAAAAGAAAATATTATGAAACCATGGGAGGTGAAGCGGAACAAGCTGCAGGCAAAGGAGACCTCGCCACACTCTACCAAACAACTAGGCACCTTTCGGGCAAAAGTTCGACACAGATTAAGCCAGTAAAGGATGACAATGGAAAGTCAGTCACCAAAGAGGTGGAACAGAGAAAACACTGGGCTGAACACTTGAAAAGACTTCTAAATCGACCGCCACCTACAACGCGCCCAACAATACTAACAACGGAAGCAGATCTACCAGTGAACATCGACCCCGCGACAAAATCAGAAGTCCTGAATGCAATCAAGATGCTAAAAGCTGGAAAAGCAGCAGGATCAGATAGAATCCCTGCAGAAGCATTGAAAATGGACCCAGAGATAACAGCGGACTTGATGACGCCATTTCTGGAGAAGGTTTGGAAGGAGGGCAAAGTACCCGAGGATTGGAAGAAAGGATACTTATTCAAACTACCAAAGAAAGGAGACTTGAGTCAATGTGAAAACTGGCGCGGAATCATGCTCCTGTCCACCCCTAGCAAAATACTAAGCCACATCCCATCCTGGACAGAATCAAACACGCCGGCCTGAATGAAAAACTTCGACCGGAACAAGCTGGATTCAGGAGAAACAAGTTATGTATTGATCAAATCACCACACTACGGATCATCATTGAACAAAGCTTGGAATGATAGTCAACTCTCTATCTCAACTTCATCGACTTTGAAAAGGCCTTCGACAGCGTCGACTGAAAGGCCATTTGGCAACTTCTTCGCTACTATCAAGGGGTCCCATCGACAATTATACATCTCATCCAACAGTTGTACGACAATGCTGCATGTCAAGTAATCCACAACGGGAAACGTACGGAAGCCTTCGAAGTAAGGATGGGAGTGAGACAAGGCTGTCTACTATCGCCAATGATCTTCCTGATTGCAGTAGATTGGATCATTCGACAGACAACGGGCAATGAGGAGACAGGCATTAAATAGACAAACACAAAATACTTGGAGGATGTCCACTTCGCTGATGATATATGTCTGATTTCCCACAAACTAGAGGATATTCAAGTGAAAAGCAACAAGCTGGCAGAAGAAGCATCAAAGATGGGGCTTCAAGTGAACATAGATAAAACAGAGGTGATGAAGATTCCTGGTCAACAACAACAACAGACAACGATCAGCCAGCATAAATGGGAGGAACCTGAAAGAAACAACCTCCTTTACCTACCTACCTGGGAAGCATCGTTTCAACTACAGGCGGAACTGACGAGGACATCAAAGCTAGAATCGGAAAAGCAAGACAAGCTTTCATTACCCTTAAGTCTGTGTGGAGGTCAATAGCACTCAGCACCAAAAATAAGATCCGGATTTTCAACTCCAGTGTGAAGTGAGTCAGTGCTACTTACTGTACGGATCAGAGACTTGCACTTCGCGTCATGAAGAGCATCTCAAACAAACTACAGACTTTCATTAACAGTTGTCTTCGCTCAATACTCAAGATCAGATGGCCGGCCAGAAAAGATCAGCAACAGGGATCTCTGGCAATGAGCGAACCGACCCAGCAGGAACCGATTGTGAAACAAATAGGCAGGAAGAAATGGAGATGGATTGGCTGGCTATACGCTGAGGAAACCATCAAGTGACATCACTAGACAAGCCATTGCTCGAGTAGAATCCGAAAAGGAAGCGGGCGGCGAGTTGGTCGTCAGTGTGAGGGTGACTTGGAGGAGGTCATGTGAGGAGGAGATGAAAGCATGTGGGCAGACTTGGAGCGGGGTGAAAAAGTTGGAAGAAAACCGAAGACAATGGAGATGCGCAGCTGAAGCCCTATGTTCCTCTAGGAATTAAAGGATATAATAATAGTAATCGACAGGGATAACACATTTATAATTCTACGTGCTTATATTCATTTTAGATGTTAGCGTTATGGCGGGATACATGGACGTTATTAGCATGCGCATTGTCACTCACAGTAGTGGATGTTGCAAAATGAAATGACTAATGCATAGTGGTCATCTTTTACTTTCCGGAATGTCTTTCTGGCATCAATTTGTGCTTAACAACGCTTGAATCACTTTAGTGGTATTCCAAGTTTTTATTCCTCATAGCTACAGAGTACATTTAATGTGTCTAACAGATGCGGGGCAGAAGTGATTATTTTATAAAAGCAGATAAATAATTCAGGGTGCCGGAATAGATTAAAATATAAATGTGAAAATAAGTTAATTAGTCGCTTAGATTTGCCTACACTGAAGTGCGGATCCTCAGATTATTCTGCTTGATAGTGACCAAGATCTTTCATTCCCGTTCATTTCTCTCAGTACTGAGTACATATGAAAAATCCAATTTAATTTTTCGTTCCCATTCTGGTGATTGTTGTATTTACAGCTAACTTAATTCATTTCTGTTATCTGAATATTCGTCAATGACCTATCTGTTCGTGTAACTACTACTGAAAATATCGAAGTTTTTATTACTCGTACCAACTGGTTCTTATAACTAGTACATATCAATGATGTACTTCTGATGACTAATTTTTTCCTCTGAGTTCGAATTAACTAATTTTTCAAACAGTCCACTTTTTTAAATGCTCAGAGTACACAGAACATGTATTCCTTATTCGTGGGGACGTCAGAAATTGTTTATTTTAGTGACTTTGCACCAGTTCCCATGCAGGCATATGAAATAGAAGCTGAATTTTACCTCAAATAGGTGGGAACTAAATTTCCATTCAGCTTTAGTCAGTCATATCTGGTAGTGTTCATGATGTTTCTGAAAACAGTATATCATACAATGTTTTGTTGTTTTTGGATTTGCAATCAGAAATAGTTATCGTTCATCTGATATTTCCTATTTAATTTAAAGCTATTGTATACTACTCACATCACTATAACACGGGCATTTCTACTTAGCCTGAAATTGTCATCCAGTTGTCACTCCTTACAACGTAGACATATTATTCTGCATAAAACTAAAGATGATTTTATATGATAATGGGTTATATTTGCTTAGTGGTTATATCAGACAGGTCGCCTATCATTTAACGCAATAAAGCAAGATACTTTTACTTTCGCAGTAGTTATGCATAGTGTAAATTAGTATTCCATTATTGATTCCCTGAGTCAGATATTATATGATGAAGTGTATGATCGTGTTTAATTATCACAAAATCATTTCAACAGATGGGTCATTTAAAAATAAAACAATTCAGTGCACAATAATAATTATGGCAGATCATTTCAAAAAACGAAACAAAAGGTAGAAATGGACAAAAAGGAAGGAAAATGGGGAAAAATACATTCCCCACTCTTACATTAATAAATAAATACTTAACTCAGAAGTCAGCTAGTTTTAATTTTGATTTCTTAGTTCCATCGCCTTCAATATGATTCCTTCTTTCTTCTCATCTGTCATTTTGTTTAGTTAATTTCAGCACTGATTTGAAAATTGTTTATTATAGTGTTATTGAACTCTTGGACAATTAATTCTGCATCCGAACTGCTTTGAAGATAAAGTTTTGCATTACCGCTAGATAGTTCACTCAATGAATGCTCGAAATGTATAGACATTATCTTCTGTATAACAAAAATGTATTTTAAGTAAATAGGTTATTATTTTCATGGCACAATAATAATCATAATTTAAAATGGTATTCAACCTCGTGGAAGAATTTGTATCATTGTCTTGAAGTTTTGTTTTGACAACTTGAGTATACAATTCTATTTCATATTTTTAGAAATTCACCTTAAGCTTCTGCTAAGTAGTAAGAATGTATACTTTAGCTTTTTGTCCATCGGCGATTTTAAGGGAGAAAATCCAAACTACAAAATAAATGTAGTTTTAGTGGGATAACTGTATTTGCGTCTTAGTCCATCAGTGTACTGTGAGAAGACCTATGGTACCACTTAGCTGCCTGGATCAAAGTAGCTGCGAACCTTTATTCTAGATAATTTGGATGATGTCTTGTTAACTAGATAAAATACAGGTGAGAAGTTTTGGTATCAGATCTTGGACAATGAATCCAAGGGAAGACTGCTCCACCCATATTCCTGACTGCAATGTCTCGTTATCAGCAAAAGCAAAAATTAAGAGACTTCTACAAAGTAAAAGCATCACTTATCGAAATGCCAATTTATGGTTTTGTTTTTCTATTTACTTCACTGATGAATACTGATAACTTAGTCAAATATACTTTCAGATATGAGCACACCTATTATAGATGAGGATTTTCTGGAATATAAAAGGGTTCTAGTTACCCGTGTTCATGAATTTTAGTCTGGGAGTGAATGAAAACAATCCTCTAATAGTTGTCCACTGTGTTTGGATTTGAGTAAACTAAAGTTGAAACAAGGCCAGGTATATTAATTTGTAAATCTTTTAAAGGCTATGAGGATGGCAATGTTGATGACTCAAATTGGTAATGATTACAGGGAAAAAACACAACTCAGAAAACTGAACAGAATAACTGGAAATCTCTTACGGTAGCCAACAGCTGTTAACATTATGGCTAAATATTCATCGTGTGCATTCGTAATCTACAGCCGAAATAATTGGTCTTAAAAGAAACTGGAGATAAGATTTCGCAGCTCGGTCCCAACTACTTGTGGCAAGTTTGTCATCCAGTGTGATAACAAGAATAACATTTGTACTAAACCAAATTGTTGTAGAGATATTCGGAATGTACCTAATGTTGCATTACATAGTTTCAGATGAAGGACTAAACACAGGCATTGAAAACGGTCCTATTCTGCTTTTTATTTTGCCATCTTTTATGGTTTTAGATTGAGAACATACTTTTATAGATACACTACTTTTGTTTTCAAAGAAAAGCTGTGCTAAGATTTCGCCTAAAACCACGTATCCTGTAATTCCTGATAACAGCATATTTATAGTAAGAATGAAACTTACCAAATTCTTAATTTTCTCCTCTAACCAATTAGTGAAATCACTAATCGACATATCTTTCGGTAAACCTTTAATGTTCACAGTTAACACTTTATTCTCTGTCTTCGAAGGTATAACATCGTTTGGTTTGTACATATGAATATCGGGTATATTCATCAAGTCAACGCCTTCTATCGGATTGTTCGACCATGAATTGGTCCAATTTGAACTGGATTTTGACTCAGGCAAACTTTTACTATTGCTAGAATTGCTGTTAATATCATTACTGCCTGTTGAATATGAGATCTGAGATGAAAGCATCCCAGCTGATTCAAAGTTCAGTGAGTTATTTGTATAGATGTTAGGAATTGTTGTTTGGTAAAATAAATTTGGTATATGAAATCCCAATATATTTGATAATGAAGGTGTACATTGTACCAATGCTGAAATAAGACAGAAACAAATATATATAAGACATTACTGAAGATGACATCTGGAAAGACTGAAATATGTATTCAAGGTATGTCATAATGAATACATTTATGTATAGCCATATCAGAGATAAAAAAAACAAAGTGTGAATTAGGTTCTCGAGCCAAGAATCTCCCATTGTACTAGCCACAAGCCATATCTGATGTGTAGGAACTTGCATACTGTCTGATTTTCAGGCCAAAAATAAAATAATAATAAAATTTACGTGACCAAATCATTCCAAATACATAAGGTTACATGTGAACTAGGGTCTTGACACAAATTCCCAAGTGTATTTAAATACTCTAGTAACATATCTAGTACTATCAGCCGCGTAGTGCAATTCGAAATTTTGAATTACTCATTATGAAACAGACCACGTCAACTGGAGGCAAAAAGAAACACGGAGAATTCCTGTCTGTGGGTTGTGTACTAGTACATTAGTACGCCTGACATGGTCTCGGAATCTGTCATTTTTGTGACAGAAGAAAAACGATTGCTTTCTTTCCTATCACAGCTCATAAATTTAAGCATTTTGAAGTGAAGATCGATTTCAATCTTCTAGCAGTTTCCAATACCTATATGTTGAGGATTTGTACAATTTAAGTTTGCCACTTGACTATACTAAAGGTTGTGAAGCATTATAAGTGATTAATTTAGTTATTCGGTTATCAAACAATGAATATTCGCTTGAAATCTCCATTCATGTTTAAGGTAAGCCAGGGAGAATATCATAATTTGTTTCAAAATTGATACAATTAGTAGAAGAAAGCTTATGCATACCTGCTGATACGCACCGTCTAAAGCCTTGTATGTCAGTAATGAGTCAACCAGTCGACATTGTTGATAACAGATACAACAAACTAAATGTATCATAAAAGCATCTAGTCTAAACAATGACTTCATCATCAAAACCACACATCCACATTCGGTGAGGGTCAATGTGTTACTAAATATGCCACCATGCGGTCTTCATGTTTCTATACTTTATTCAATGTTGGTCTCATGCTAATCATAAACATCTATTTCCCAATAGTTTAGCTGACTGGTTCTACCGAAATCTGATGAATTTACTCAATCCTGTTTGATTAACATTTGCCCTTTATTTCGGTCTCCTGCTAAAATGACATGACAAGTGTACAAATGACAGACTACGTGACTGTGGCCACGAAATGAATGGAAAAACGGTTAACCCATTTAACTAGTCAGTAAGTTTCGAAAGAAACGATGTTTAAGTAAGTAACAGTCAGTTAGACAACACCTGGAATCTGACAGTAACATATTCTTGGGTTTGTAGACTAATCTAAATCATCTTATTAATTGAGCACTGTCAATAAAAAACTACCCACCCACCATTGGTTATGTTATTGATGAAAGGCGTCGGTAGAGAAAATGTATTATTTGGACCAGTCAGGTTACTGGATGAATTGGGTAAAGGCGGAGGTGGTACGTCGAAATTATTTAACTCTCTGATATTTAAATATGGCGTCCAGTTGATATCTGGACTTCGAATTCGTAATAGATTCGATCGTGTAATACCAAATCCTGTCTGTGATGTGAGTGGCACTGTTTGTGGAATACAGTCGTAAACCCCGTGAATAGCTGTTGACTCATCTAGAGTATGCAGTGGAGCGAACGCCAATGGATTGATTAAACTGGATGATGTTGATGAAGTCAGATTGGACAGAGATCCACCAACTGCTGAATTTCTTGACATATTAGAAATCAGTTGACTCAAGTCTTCTACTGTACATTGAATCACATCAACACGTGTAGTTATCGGTATAGGCAGACCATATTTAATGAAGACACTTCCGTGTTTCTGTTCACAAACATTTTGAGCTGATAACTCAGACACGAATTGGATCATAGCCTCTCCAATTGGTTGGCCCTGAAAAATGTAGAGGTTTATTTATACGGTAAAACGTTATTCACCTGTATTTTGAAACTCAACAATGATTTGTAAGATGTATTCCAATCAAGGTAGGGACTAGTTATACATTTCGAAACAGCCGATGAAATTCACAATCGTGTTGCAATACAAAATTTTAGGTTCATGTACAGTCACTAAAGCTCAAAATGAATTGCGGCAAGGTCTACCCTAATTACTTTCTATAGACTCAAGCATACACCTATTTCATGAATGCATTTTCAATAAATCAGTGCGATACCACAAAGCTATTCTAGCTAAGGAAAGTAAAGGATGCAATTTTCTTGCATAAATTATAGGAATCAAATTGGAAGAGATGAACATCGCCCTTATATTTAAAGGAATTCGAACATGATGAAAGTGGATATGCTAATTTAACATGTGTATTTTTCTGGCACAGTTAACTATTTGTTATTCTTCTCTTTTCAGTTTAGTAGCGCCTCTGACACTTAGTAATTTCAGACTTGTATTACTTCGCTTCATTGCTAGTTAAGATGCAAGAAAGACAACTTAGAAACAGAACGCACAGAGATAGGCGACACAGTTCTTATTATTCAGAGGGAATAATTGCTGTCAAGTAACAAAACTTCTTTCCGAGCCAGTTGAGGAAGTAAACCTTCTGTTTCACTGCAACAGAACTGCGCGGTACAATCTTGAATAGGTGAATATACTCAATCTAAAGAAAAACGATTCGTAGACTTCGATCTTCCTCTTGAAATGTCTCCATGTAGCCACGTGTTCATAGTCTCCGCCAGGCAAGTTTATTCACTGCCTTCACGTGGCAGGGGTGTAATGAGTGTTGAATGATCTCGACAAGAATGTTCGCTTGTCTTCTGGATGACATATCCAATTCATTCTATCCCTATTTTCTTTATATATTGTTTTATTTTCGTGTCAAGCATTTCTTGGTGCCCATAATGTATCAACCTTGTGTTTTAAATAAAATAAATAATACGCCTATGTTTATTTTTTAAATCAAATTTATACGAATCGTATAGCGGTGGCATGATCAGTTTTTAGGTGAAAATAACTGGATTACGAAATCAAAAAAAGTTAGTTGGTGGAAGTCAGAAACAGACTGTTAGTCGATAAGACACGTGAATTTTGAGGCATTGGAGAGATGAAAAATCTGTGACCTATACGGCTAGATGTTTCGAGAAATTTTGTTTTGATTTTTGAAACACTCCGTTATAACGTAATGCCCTACGCTACAATCGGAACGCAAAAACGAATGAAAAAAGTAAAAAATTTCAAAAAATTCTTCCCGAATTTAATTGAGTGATACCCATGGCCTCTTACCGAGTCCCTTGATTGTTGTTAGTGTCAAATACTCAAAGATTACGAAATCTAACTTCATCTTAGTACTTTTCAAAGTTCATTTTTATTATCATTATTTTTAGCACTGTGGTAACTGCGGTCAGAAACACTTCTGTAGATTATATTAACTTTTATTCACAGACTTTGTCACCTAGTAACAATTGTGAATCTGCTTCTTTATCAGTTGAAGAACAAACAGTCATCTTACCCAACCGTTGTCTGTTGTTCTGCGTCAGTTACAGTGCATAGTATTCTGTGTCTTAAGCTTAGTTTTCTGAAACTATCGATAGGTCCAGGATATGATTTTTGTACTTTTATGTAACTCACATCACATCAAGACAATTATTTATCATGTCTACTCGCTAGCGAACTTAATAATTATCTTTGTCAACATTTACTGTGAAAGTAGCTCTCATTTTTGGGCAAAGAATACACCAATTACTTTTGATTCTTCTTTACATTCTTTGCTTGTATCAGATGGACTGTTGTGTTTTTCATTACAATGTATAGTTTAGTAAGAGTTTAATAAGAAATAGACTTCTACATCTTTTCAAATATTTAAACATTTCTTACCGTCACGTCATACACTAGGTGTATTCCATGTATAGCTACATTACGCCAGTTTTCTTGAAGAAATACCAAGATATCTGTAATATCCGCATTCACCGGCATTCCGCATATACGTACAAATCGTTTAGCGATTTGTTCAACAGATAAACCAAAGTTCGGGAAGTTGGTCAATAGTCCTAGATTATTGATGCTATTATTGTTACTGTTACTATTAATGTTGTTATTGTTAGAAGAGGCAGTAGTACTGGTTACAGCAGGAGTGGTAGGCATTACAGCATTTGTACCATTGGGCCCATAAATCTGTAGTAACTGTAGATTATTTGCGTCTGGTATAAGTAAATGATTATTCATGTTATCTGTTGCACTAATACTACTGACACTATTGGTCACTGGTAATGGACTTATTGGATATCTTGGCAGAACTAATGTTGGACCAAGGTGACTTGATGAATGCAGTGTAATAGGTCTGTGGTAATCTGTTGCACGTTGACTTGTCGGCAAGATATTCGATGCTGTTGTGTTAATCCCACCTGAAAAGTTGTTTAAAAAATCTAAACTGCTGAAATTAATGAGTGGATCTGAGGTTAACGTGGCTGCTGGCAAGTTATTTGTAGATGTATTCGGTAAAAGACGTTGCACACACAAATTTCCATTTTGTGATAAATTTGCTGTTAAACCAAAAGAAAGTATTTGTTGTGGGAAAGCAACTGACAGTGTGACAGTTCACTGATGTATGGAGAATGCGAATTCAGTGGAAATATATGAGGAGAGAATGTTAAATCTGAGATATTCGGTTGACCAGTGAGTAGTTTCAAGTTGTAATTTGGGCAAAGTAAACCGCTGGCTTCATTGAATGGTGGAATGTAAGCAGTACCGATCGTATTGAATATGCTGTTAGTACTTTCTGTTAAACTGTTCCAATAGTGCACTTGTTCTTCGCAGGTTGGATTTAAAATACCATTCATAACCTATAAAAAGAGACAGCAAAAGCAGATTTCATTAGTGTATGGATGAGGAGTATTCATGAATCGTAGAGCAAATATAGCAAGACATATTACACATTTAGCACTTGTAACACTCTTATCACTTTAGTTGCTCGATTAGTATTCACTATCCCTGTCAATTCTTTCATAGTGTTTCCAATGATTATTCGTTATACGCAGCAAGGGATGCATGAATAAAGTCACCTATTAAATACAATAGAATTTGGTGAATTATTAAACTTATAGTTTTGAAAGTTGTGGATTTTCATTGACAGAGGCAGCAGAATCGACCGACTGAATATTGTGAGATTCTAGCCAAGTGGTTGTTCTTCTTTCATCCGTGAAAGTCATTTAATAAGATTCAGCTTGATACTGAAGATCTATTTTCCGCTGATATTACTGACATTTAATCAGCTGTATGTATGAAAATGGATTAAACGTTACTTCGGTATTCTATTCGTATGAATGCGGAAATTTGAGTGACAGTTTGTCCCGGCAGTTCTCGGGCGTGCGGGAGGCGAGTAAGAAAACGAAAATAAAAGAGAGTAGGAGTTCTTCATAGCGGTCCCTAAATTTTCTACTTGAGCTAAATGGTGAGACTTAAGTGTTTACAGGAATCTACTGGTAACCTTATTCCCCACTATTCTATTCATAGGGATCATCGGTAGGTATTTAAAATCCTGAGAAATTCAGTTCTGTGGCACTTTAAAATGAAAGTGTTTTCAGTGTAGAACTAAATTGGTGCTACTGAGCTGTAATCTGTCAATATTATTATTTTTTCCTTCACGTTCCCAGTGGAACATAGGGCCTCTAGCTATTGGCTTGAAGTTTCTGTAGCAGTGTTTAATTTTACAGGAAAGGGTTACTAGCCTCATGCCCAGCCTTTCCTCTTTGCCAGCATTATTTGTGGCTTATCGAGGTAAAGGAGTGGATCGGCCGGGGATCGAACCCCGGACCATGTGCATGGTCGGCGAGCGCCCTAACCGCTATGCCACCGATGCACATCAATATTATTGATTCGATATTATTTGAACATTAATTTTGTTCATAGCACTAATTCATTTATTCGCTATAATCTACATATAACTGTAGAGCCTGATGATGAAGTTGTCGAAAAGAGTACTTTTTGTTCAGTATCCATTCTTCTGAAAATATCATAAAGTTTAACTTGTAAGTGGCTTTCTCATGAGTTTTTTTTGTCAACTTTCCCATCTAAGTGAAAGTGGCATGAGTTTTAGCCACTCATAAAAAGGTACAAAACCACTTCATGCTTCGTGTTCAAATTGTTTGTTTTTTCTAGTAACAATGGTCATATCAATTTAGACCTCTTAGGATATCAAATATGGATTAAAAAGAAGAATTTCTTTTGGATGATGTGCATTTATAAACCCACAGTCAATAAATCAAGCAGTAACTGACTGGTAATATAATGATATCGACATTACTGTTTTCTAATGGATTTTTTTTCATAAACGACGATGACAAAAGCTAGAAAGACGAATATTAAGTGCATCCTTAGTACTCATTTTTGGAATATTCAATAAAATTTTGGCTGTTTTGTTTAGAAATGATGAATAAACTGCACTTTCTTCCCTCAACATTTATTTCCTAATACACTTACACATAAATATGTAGTACAAAAAGTAAGATTTCAGATAGATTTGTGTCTAATGAGAAACACTAGTTAGAGATAATTCCATTGACTATGGCGTGCAGTCGAGTGACAAAACTTCACCTTCAAGCTTATTAAATCTGCAGGTTTATCTGGTTTGAAATGGAGCAGATTTTCCGTATGCTGTTTGTCGCATCATTGAATGATGGAATCGTAGTCCGAAAAAGTGGTAAGTGTGTACATGTTCTATAGTTTGAACCATCTACCCTAGAACATTATGCGATAGTTATACGCGTATTATGCATCAATCTTTTGACGTGTGAACAACTCACATACCTTAATATTAGATTTTTTAAGATCATAGTTATCATGTGTTAGTTCAGTGATAAGTGATCTGTGTTAAGTATCAGATGATCCTTCTCAATAAAAAGATTGCCTGATGACTCTTACTTTCTTTGTTTTCTGTACTTTATTTATCGCAATATGTTACATACAGATGTGGACCGCATCTTAACAGTTTCTCTATGATCTAAAAAATAGAAGATGAAAAGCACTACTGTCAGACTGTACGGGTTAGTAATACATATCTAATGACTTATGCAATAATATGCGTATAACTAACGCATAATGTTTTAGGATAGATGGTTCAAACTATCGAACATGTACATACTTACAACTTTCTTGGGACTGTTGTTCCATCATTTAGTATTGTATATATATGGTTCTGTTTACCTGATTCACTTCAGCCGGAGTTGACTTGAACAATTCAATATAACGATTTCCGATGTGTTGTTTGTTATTTTCAAGAGCTTTCTCGGCAATTTGTTTTGTTTCAAAGATGACGAATGCATCACCAGTTGCTCGACCATCACGTCTGTTTACAAATAGGATTCCATCGGCGCCAAATTGTACTGAACAGTTGGTGTTGGCGAAAAATGTTAGCTATGAGTGAAAAATGAAATTGTTCTGAACAGAAGTGTTAGATAAGCCTTAATGTCTACTGGGAAATCATCACCAAGCGTTTTATTCTTAAGATGATTGAGTATACTATTGAAGTCAGATTATAAAGAAAGTAGGTAAGTGTAGCAACTACCTGGTAAGCTCATAATTTTGTAGGAATGTAAGAATGACATCCTATTAATTATGTGAATACATGTTTCACGAATGATGGTAAATGACTTCTTGTTAGATTAGTCAAATATATTAGAATAAATATGTCCAAATATTAGTTTACTCATAATCTTAGGTCTTTTGAATAATTTGGCACCATGTCTTACACCTTCAGTTATATTTCACTAGCAATAAGTCCACTCTTTTCCTCAAATAAAAGGTTATTCTGGCATGCAGTGCATTCTGTCTAAGCTATGGATGATATGAACTACCGAAAACCGGAAATATTGCTTCACCAGAATTTAAAGCAACTCGCTGTTGACCTGATATCGGTGTCACTAATCTCTTGTAAACATAGTACCAGGAAAAATTACTACTTTGCATTTATGACTTCTAGGCATTGGAATAAGTTGACTGATAGAATGATGCTATTTTTCATCTCTCTTTAGTGGTGAGAAAGAATGTCTGTATTGTCCTATTTAAACCTCGTCGACTTGATGCACCTATTGAGTGATGATGCTGTCTTCGATATACAACCCCAACACTGGTCACTTTAAACAGGAAAGAAAACTGTAGACACAAGGCTACTACATCACAATACACCTTCCTCTCTGACGACAAATATCACTTATTAATGCTGATTCCACTTCCAGCCACCACTGAAAAAATAACCTAAGAATAAGACAAAATTGACGTATTTTTTCCTGTCTCTTAACTGCCTACTCCTATACCAAAAATCCTATATCTTCTATATTTTCAGCTTGGCAAAGTTTACTGCTCTAACCACTTTCAGAGGGGATCAGTCTTCGAGTGAATAATCTTGTAATGCAGTGGCTAGTTTTGATAATGCATAATTGAAGTTTAAATTTGAAGATGAACCTGAACTTCCTGAAATGGGGACATACCTTTTTCTAATGAGTATCCAGAAGAATGAAAGTAACTCACAGGGATATCACTGCTGGCACTCTGCTATCTAAAACACTTCACCCTCTGTTTGTTTACACCTTTAAACATTTCACTACATACTTTCATTCATTTCATTTTCGTGTAAAAACTATAGTTGATATAATCAGATAAATTTGACAAGACACACTTCTTAAATATAATAAAGTATGTGTGCACTTAAACCCGGATATTATCATTACTAAACTCTGATGTCTTTTGAACTCCTACACTAAATATAAACTGTAAAGAGCCTTCAAAGAAACTAGGGAAGTTCTTCTGCATGATCCACTTTGTTAGCAAATAAATACTTTTCTACATTATGGATAAGATTTTATTTTGATAATTCACACAGTGTTGTACAGTTATATCAACTGATGACGTTTCGAGCACAAACTATTGCTCATAATCATATCAAGTGGTCTTATCCATAATGGAGTTATACTCTACCACAGTGCCCAAGTTTTATACTTATGCCAAAAATACTTTTCTGTATGTAAGCTTTATGGCATTGAGTTACAGGGTTACATCATTATCCTTTGCATGTTTATCTAGCTTTTCATCTTATAAGTTGTAAATTAATACGCTATGAATAAGACGTCCTAGTCCGCTCTTTTTAAATGTTGTAGATTGATATTTCTGTGGACAAAAATGATGATTACAGTCGTAAAAAAATCGGAATGCAAATTATTCCTATGTCATAACCTATTAAAACTATTTGTTTCAGAACTAAGTCATTCACCGGACAATTACTTAATCAATTCACAACCGAATGTTAGTATCGTGCTTTTGTGAGACAACTTTGACTGTGTTTCAGGCAAAGTGATGCGAGTTGCGCTAGTGGAGTAGTGATAGGTTGGAAGCACGAAGTTGGCTGACTTTTCAAAAGTCGAATACCTCCTTGCATAAGACTTAGTATTTTTACTGCAATTATAAAACTTGAGTACAGACCTTCTAAAGAAGCTGGGGCTTTTGTATACTCCATCTGGTGGTGACTAGAATACAGCACCTCTACTACTTTGGTAACTAATCTTTATCTTTCTTTTTTGGGGGGGGGGAGGGAGCGGGAGCGTAGATAACTCGATTTCCGCCTATGAATATTCATCAACAAATTCGATATCTGAGGCTACTAATAATATTAGCTGGCCAGCTTTCAAATATTCGACACCAAGGAGACTAGGTTTGACTACACGTGACTGAAATCATTCGATTATCACTGGTTAGTATTTCTGAAAAAAAAATGACTATCAGGAAACGACATAAGATTTTAGGCGAATCAGAATTTTGGGCACATTTATTCCATGGTTGACACTTTCAGCCGAAAAATATCCTTAAATTCAACTGAACAGACGTATTTATGCAGTCAGACAGACATTAGTATCCTGAGTGTGACCAACTTATTTTAAGCTAGAAATTTCGCCTAAGACACAAATAAATTGTGGCATAATTTGGCCTTAGTAACTGTTAGAATTAATCAACTGGCGTTTATAATAACAAAGTTTTAGCCCAATTTAAAAATCGAATACTGATCACAGCATTATTTTACTTAAATTGTACAAAAAAAATTATTATTCATCCGCTTAAGCTTTTGGAGAAGTTCACATGCATTTTAATTCAATCCCAATTTAGAGACAATCTCCAGAGAATGCATTATAACAGAAAAATAAGCAGAACATTCAACATGAATACAGTACAACCGTAACCGATTCCCCATAATCATTTTAGCCAATGATTGACAAACGTTCATTAACTTCAATGTGTACATAGGTATATATTGAATGCATATATATAGGAAAAAATAAACTGTGGAAAATAAAATCAAATTAACAAATCCGTTAACCAGAAATTTTATGTTTTCTATATTGTGTGTAATTGATTTTCAAACCATTTTTTGTCGATGAACAAACGCACAAAAACACGTTCAACATACAAACCACCAGATGTACATTAACTTTCCATGACCTGTCGTTTGATTGATTTGTTTGTTTGTTTATTTGATTGATTGATTAACTGATTCAGTGGTTTTATGACACATAATATATAAACAAATAAAATCCACCCTGGCCACCTTTATCTTACCTGTGAATAGTAGTCATTTTAGGGGGTTATTCACCTTTCCACCCTTTCTGTCTCACTCTCTCTCTCTGCCTCACTTGCTGTGCATGTATGCATGTCTATGTCTTTCTCTGTGTCATCTGGCTCCATCTACTCTGAAGTGAAATATAATGACCGTCTATTCAGAAATTAGAAAGGTGAATAAACAACTAAAAAAATATCCGCCTAAACTTTATTTATAATAAGACTACTAAGTGTGATATAAATCTTACATAGATGAGTTTGATATCGTAACCCGAAGGTCCAGGGTTCCCACCCCCTTTGTGGGATCGTGACTCTACGCTGATGAAGAGTCTCAAAAACAGGACAAAACAGTTGTCCAGTGCTCCCTGATTCTAAATAATCTCTTCAACTGATGTTGATTCGTGAAGAAATCTAACATTTGAAATTAATCCAAATGCCATAATCTAAATATAAATCTTAGATGGAAAGCAAATTCAGTGCTTGACTAGGCCTTCTAGCAAAATAACAAACCGTGCAACAACGGTGCAAGAGAAAAGGGATCCATTCATTTTAGTCATTAACTTGCCAACTTTTTGCAAATTGTCTAACCAAAGTAAACAGTAAACAGTTTCACGACAATTTTAACAGACTTCAGTTTGTTGGAGAAATGACTGGAAATAATCCTGCTATATACAGATGAATCGTGATGTTAAATACTAACAGACTGGTGCAATCCAATGTGTCAGGTAATCAAAGTTTTTTGTATAGTAGGTAGGGGAAGTAACACCATACTGAGGAGCATAAGTCATAAGATCACGTAAGTCAAATAAAAAAGTTAATAAACAAAAGATGCAAAATTACAGGGAGTAAATTTGGCTATAATCGGCGATCTATTTAACCCCTGACTTTGAGAAATTGATCAGAATTAAAGAGCAGTAAAAGACTATGGTTTTCTGAGATCTCGTTATGCTTCTGATTCTGTCCTTCAATCTACACCAAAATCCAAATCCTTCCAAATAGCTAGTTATCCTGTCAGTTTTCCCTCGCATATGCATGTTTTAACTACTTCATTTAATCCATTATTTACACAGTAGTCAAACAGTCGTCTTCGTGGAATTCCTTATGGAAATTCAGAACATAAGGCACAATTCGATTTGGTTGTACCATCTGTTACTCTAGTTGGTTTACGAAAGTCATTTACACGGGTGGCTGCAATACTTTAACTTTGCTGCATAACTTTAGAATTTATGACCTTCAATATCTTGTTACCATGATGGACTTTTTCATCGACACTTCGATATATATATATATATATATATATCAATACCAAAACCCATGCAGAGACAGCCTTACATTTCCGTGCATAAAATGACTCGTCACCCACTGGAGGTTAACGTCATAATAAACACCGAAATAACACTATTTCTTATTTATTCTGGGACATCTTAAAATAGTGACCTAAACTGTAGCGTCACTACTTCACCGAGTAAACAGGTCTGTTCCAGCGTCCACTACCAACCATCATGACATCTATATTATTATAACAACAAGAATGTAAATTATAAATCCCCTTAGTGTAAAAAGAACGAGATCATTCTGAGCGAACAGTTGTTTTCGATAAATTCTTTCTCAGGCTCTAAAGTTATAAATCCATGAATATTATAACACAAATAGCCATTAAAGGCATGTGAAAATTGTTGGAAACTGTATTGGAGTACATGTATAATACGGAATGATAGTTCGTTATTTAATATTGTCTAATGAACGCATATAAAAATGTGAAGTCATTCAGAGCATAAGATAAAGTGTGAGTCGACAAATGGGAGGCATAC